ATTAAAATCGGGTCATTTTTGCTCGAGTTATCGTGCTAACGGAGATATATATATATACATAAGTTTTAAAAATAAAAATAATTTCAGGGTACTGAGTTAGTATGCTTTCTTTATTATTTATAATAGTAGCCCTTTATCCAAACAATTGTATATATATAACATAATAAATCAAAAGAAAACAACACCTAAGCCAACCTATATTCTAGACGAAATTCCAAAATCATATGATAATTTACTTATTTATTATTTACATTTCTATTTATTTACTATTTGTTCATAACTGTGATCATGGCCTAAGAGCCGAAACATGTAAGTTTATTCAATAAATTAATAACTTAAAAAAAGGTACTAAATGTTTAATTATTAATTTCATTTATTAATATATATATATATATATATATATATGTGTGTGTGTGTGTATATATATATATATATATGTATATATATGTATATATATATGTATATATATATGTATATATATATATATATTATAAGTTAATAATATATATGTCATCAATTTGAACGAATTACCTCAAAACGAAAAAAAGTTAATCTGTACCGTGTCCAGGTCTTACCGTGGGTTCTACGGTAATAGCTTATTCGCTATATGGGAAATTCGCTCAAATTTACCAAAAAACAGTTAATTAGAAAATTATTTGCAGCGATCACATTTTAGAATGATCATAACTCTAGGCTAATTAGGGCCAATATTTCGATTTTTGCAATCAATGTTTCGATGTAATATGTACTAACGTGATGTAATATGTAATAATGGGTCGTCGTAGTACCGAGCCGATGTCAACACAACATTGATGCTTATTTCTAAATTGATTGTTTTGTTTGATGACGTCTAACCGTCCGGTGACGACAATGTACCATATACCCGCTACATTTAGCCGGTATAAGTACTATCGAGGACGCGACCGGCTGGTTAGACGCCGAATGAAGAATCTAACATCGATGACCCAAGGGAAACGGTACGCATAGTTTGTAGCGAGAGCTATTTGACATTATGATTTATATTCTTCTTAATTATTAATGATTCTTTAAACTAACCACTTAAATAACTTTTAACAGATTTATTTAAGCAATCCATGTACAATTTACAAATTTATGTGCAACTCTACTTGTTTTGTTGACAAGTTAATAGTCTACATTACAACTCCTTCCTTAGCCAACAAAACTGCTAGCGCTTCGTTCGGCGGTGGCGTCTGGGAGAACTAACCTACCCTTGACGCACACTCGTGAATGTGATCTGCCTTACCACCGTGGCAAGGTTGGGTCCGAAGCCAGTTTGCCAATAATTCTTCTAGTTTCTAAAATAGTTGTATATATATTTAATATTTTTATTTTATAACACGATGTCTTGTATTATAATAATAGTATTGTATTTTTAGTTAGTTTTGACCTGAGTTACTCTGTAAAACAGTTATATTTGTACTGAGAGACGCATAAATAAATAAAAAATAAAAAATTAAGGCATTTTTATTTATTTATTATTCTTGCTTCAAGCGTTTTTCGTAACTGATTTATAACATTTGTTTAATATTCCCTATGGTTTTGGTTTTAAATTTTAAACCATACGTTTAAACCATTAATATTTGACACAAAATTTAAAAAAATACATGTAAACCATACAACTTACAACTATGATTAAGGAATTATTCAAATATATAATTATTCAAATGTATAATTTCAACACCTGAATGAAGTGTATAACTTTTATAGATTTTAGCGAATTTCCCGTATAGGGAATAAGCTATTTCCGTAGTACTCATGGTAAGACCTGGACTAAAGTGGGCTTCCTTGCACTGATTATAGATATAAAGTCAATGTACAAAACAGTGAAAGGTGGCTATTTATTAAAAATAACGAGTTCCGATTCTGAAAGTACCACAAAAGTCACTGATGTAAATAATCTATATTTATTAAATCTTTGACAACGGATAGATATTCAATTCGGATTAAAGTTGTAGTCAGTTTTACAATAAAGATTAACACAGTTAAATGAGCTTTCGACTAAGTGCTAGAGCTTTCCACAGTTAGTGCTGGTAATTACTAATTCCTGCAGTCTACATTAACTTTTTAACCAATACAAACTGAAATCACAACTTATTATAACTTAATTTGCTTTTATATTACACCAACGAAGAGTCGTTTCAAAATTTAAAAGGCGGCAGAGAATTTTTACAGTGAGAGTGGCTTATTCACTTGCGTTTTATTTCGTTAAAGGGTTGGTTGTTCCATTTGGATAGGATATATAACCGTTTTAAGAGGTTGGCATTAGTGTCCAAAAGACAATAATACAAGATCCAAACGTGCCCTGTGACTTTATTTCATACAATAGACATTTAGTAAAGAGTAAAGTGGTTTTATGTAATTTGGTGCTGGGGGTTAGTTTCCCAATACGAACGTAGCTATTATCGCATTATTGAAGGTAAGATTTTGGTACGGCACTACTGTATTGTCGTTTTAAGACCCGTAGCTATAATCACCTATTTTTAAAACTATACATACTGAAGATAAAAAAGGCAAATCGCGATTGAACCCCGTTTCCCATTATGGTCCGCAATACCTCTGGATAAAAAAGGGTTGGTTATCTCGGTATCATATTTCTAAAAATTTGTTAGAAATCAATTAAGAAAATTACGAGGATGGTTGATAACATCGACATCTGCTCATTAGACAGCTAGGGACGACACAGCGGTGTCCTTGATAGCAGGAGGAAACGCCAGACGATGGGACATTGATAAGAGGATAGAAATTCGTCATCCAGGACCTCAGAACAATGTCCTGTCCTCCAGTCTTCCTGTCTGTCTGTGTTTGGAAGCACCTGGGGTGGTTGGTTGCCAAACTATTTTACCAATTACACCATGGCACAATACAAAGAATAGTGACAATCAAGGTCTTGTACTTTTGTAGGTCTTTCTTCTTTGATGACGTGAGGACTTTGGGATTGTTATAACGAAATTTAATGTATGTTTTACCTGTGCTACACTAAATCAATTGAGGTTATCATTTGAGGCGGTATAGGCCTACTCGCTCTTTTCTTTTTTATGCATCAAGTCCAAACCTTAACCACTGCCTCAAATCTAGTGAATTGGCGTTTACAGGCCTAAGGATGTAATCATTAGTAGGGAACTGTAACTAAAATGGATAATTTGACTAACCCACAGATAAAATACACCTTAAATATTTCTTCTATATTTATCTAGATGCTGACACATCTGTTGACACCATACTGATATCAAAGAGAGGAAGAAATAGTAGTTTTATTTTCAAATATCGCTTCACACTTACTTCTAAAAAAATCGCATTTTAAGTCACTGTTAGTAACCCCTTTAACCGTTTCAACGTGTGTGACTTAATACAACAGTACAACTCGCTATATTTATGATATACATTTGCAAGGCTATAATTTCGCTATTTAAATCGGCACGTTTAAACCATAATCAACATGGTGTCGTTGCGGGTGGCTCACAAAAATATACGTAAGTATAAACTTAATATTTTATAAAGCTATGTGATTCTATTGAGTAAATATATGGGAAGAACTGCAACTTTCCTTGCATACCTGACCTCTAAACTGCATTGTTATCCACTGCCTTCTCACTCCTTTGCTGAGCACAAGTAAAGCTACTATCCAAATAAAGTTCATAATTTAGACTTGGTTTTGTTCCTCTATTGAGAAGGTCTACCGGATGCCTTATCTCAGGTTCTGGAGATTCCTCCAAATGAGAAGAAATACTAGCGTCATATCATTCCTTAACAAGCTCACCACATAATCCATTAACTCGAGTTGAATAAAAACAATCGAATTTTACCCGACCTCACCACCTCCGTCCGTACCATATTCGAATCCCCCTCATCCTATACAGCCCCCAAAATGTTTTCGTCGTATTATGATATAGATAGTTTTTAAATTTAATCCCCCAAAGTTTATAATTATACGCGTATCTCTAGATAAATCTGTGATTTTAAACACTTTTAAGATTTAATACACATCCCCTTTGTCTCCTTAGAGTTATTTTGTTATATTTTATATTGAATCAAATGTTCACTACTTTCTGCCGCTATTAGATAATTTATATAACTTTTATGTACATTCTAAGCTATCAATTATTAAAATTGTATTGTGAGAAAGTGAGAGGGGTAGACCCGTGGTCCAAGCACGTCAACCGAAACTTATTGTGCATCCCACTTGCCACTTCACTAACTGGGTAAGCCTATGCCTGTGTCCTTGACTATGTGCAGCAACTTTTGCCAAATGTTAGCGTCTGGTTTATCACCTGGCTGCTTTAGGCCAAACAGAGCCCTTCTCCTGGCCCCAAGTCCGTCGCAATCCAGAATAATATGTTTTTCAGTCTCATCAGACTGTTTGCAAAGTCAACACTCCAGATTGTCATTGACAATTCCTAGAGTGTGGAGATGTTTCCTGAAATGGCCGTGTCCAGTGATAAGAGCAAGTACCTGCTTGACCTACCCTCTCCCCAGCTTTAGCAGCCAGCGAGTGAAGAGGGTGCTAGGTTCTGAGATCAGTTTTATGCTATTGTGATTGTCCAGGATAATTACGCCAACGCTCTAGGTGTTGGCCCCTGGACCATTTGTAGATTGCATGTTTAGCGGTAGCTTTGCCTGATGCCACAAATGGCTCTGATCCAAATAGTGGCATGCTCGCACCTTTTTTTGTCAGCTTATCTGCACTCTCGTTGCCACCAATGCCTACATGGCCTGGGACCCAGCCGAGAGTTACAGAGTTCCGTGTGGAAAGTTTGCAGATGGTGTTGAAACACTCCCTGACCAGTTTCGAGGTGACTTCATTTGAGTCAATAGCTTTTAGAGCAGCGTTATAATTAGACAATATCCCTATCCTCTTGTCTTGGTAGCTCAAGCCAAGATACCAGTATCGTCCCAGACTTGCTGAAAGTTCTGTTCTGGGCGATCAACTGTATACTCCAAAGCCAGATTTCCCTCGATTAGGGAGCCGTCTGTGTACCAGACTAAGCTCTCCGTATTTTGGAGAAGGGTTTGGTGAACACTGTTTCTGTGCTTAGGAAGCACGAGGTCATGTCAAGTACAGGACACGCAGCCAAATTCTTGGCAATGGTGCAGTGGCCTGCCCCAGACAGGCCGTCCCTCCAGAGATTTGCAACCCTCAGACGGTAAACTGCCTTGAGGGCTTCAGATCTGATAAATATGTCCAGAGGTAGCAGCACACGAGCGACATCTAGAGTATCCAAGGACTGCTCCTGAAGGCTCCAGTGGCCTGTAGCATACCAAGCCTTTGCAGGCTTTCTAGTTTGGCTATGACAGTTCCCCGATTCACCTTTGTCCACCAGACTAGTGAACCATAGGTAATTTGAGGCCTGACCACAGCCTCATATCACAAGCTATTATTAAAATTAATCTGGTTTCTTCCAATTAGAATTAACATTCAGGAAACTATGTTAGAATCAATTTTATGGGGATACTGTGTTAAAAATTGTAAAAGTTTCTAAGTCGTCTTTACTTGAAAAGTGACCAATGGTGGCTCCGAATATGTATATCTATTGTATATCTTTTGGCAACCTGAAGTTATTTTATATCATAGTATGGCAAGCTCTATAGTTTAGAATTTAGAGTAAGCATGAGTGATAAATTAATGTAGAGTAACGGCAGGTAAATAACGCCAAGATTTGTAGCTTCATGTTTTGTATATCTCATATTATGCTACAACGTGCAAAAATCACTTAAATAAAACGAATTATTTTTAAAAGTAGGTTGAAAAGGATTAATTTGTTTAAGTCCTTTTAGAACATTTGAATTTGAATGAAATGCTATAAAAAAATAAATTTACATGAGAATATCCAAAGTCTCTGGAATATGATTGCATGGATGTTGCCCACGTAGTATGTTTTTCTGCCCCTGAACATGCAGATGAGAACACTTTGCTGAGTTGATCTGGTCATAAACGCGTCAAATAGTTTTTTCCTTCTAGGCTACTTCGTCATGTGTTGTTTTCTGACCGTTGAATGTTCAATAAAATGCGACTCAGTAAAAATATATTTTAATACTAATCACCCCATTCACGAAGATTGTGCTACAGGAAACCCCAAGAATATAAGTGTATTTCTCAGTTTGAAAATGATGACATGAAGATTGATGACAAATCTAACTCTGGACGTTCATCCCAAACCGGCCACCTGAATTCATCCGTTAACCACCTGAACCAATGAAAATGTTTAATTTCTAAAGGTTGCTTAACTGTTTTCAAACAATGGAGTGCCTTAAAGCTCTGAGCGAATGGTAATGGAAGCTTTGGATATGAAAAGTGTCGCTTCCATTCTTGTTAATTGTGATTTGTCTGATCAAAAAGAAGGTTGAGTTGAAATTGATCATGCATTGAAACAACAATTATAGACTAATCAAGATTTTTAGCTTAGTCATTACTGGATAGCTAAACCCAGAAACGAAGCAGTAATAAAGTTAATAGAAAATGTTACTATACGCCAAAAAAAATCATCGAGTTTTTTTACACTAACGCTAAAAATAGTATGGTTCCACTAACATACTTTACACTTGGTGCCATATGATTTGTTTGTTCTTAAGAGTATAAAGGAAAATAAAAGATTTTATAACATTGAAGAGGTTAATAAAAAAAAACAAGGGCAAGCCCTTCAAAAAATGTTTGAAGAGAGGGAGAACAATTGGGAAAAGTGTATTAGTGGTACCAGGCAGTTTTGAGCTGGGGAAGGTTGTTTTGATGATAGTTTTACAATATACAATTCTTAAACCCTCATTCTTGTGTTTGTAAAATCGAAAGTATTGCAACACAAATAATAAAGGGAATCTAAGAGAAAAAAATAACAACTATTTTGTGATTATAACCATTCGGTAACTGAGTCAAAAGAAGAAAACCCCCTTTCAGTGCTGGGCACTAGATTTATCGCAGGTATATTATCGAATGAATCACAATATAGGATGGACTGCAATCTTGCCAATATCTATTTAAATAATTATTTGGCAAAACAGTCTCTATTTTGATTGATGATAAGTCCATAGGAGTATTTTGAATCATTGTACATATACAATTTCCACTCTCTGAGAAATAGATTATCCACTCTCAGCTGCTGTAAAATGTAAAAATGTAATGTAAATAGCAGTTTTTGTCATTTCAATTCGTTACGGGCACAAATGAATAACATCGATGGTTTATTTATTAGAGCATCTGTGAAAAACATTTCCGGCAAAAACTGTTAACAATCATACTAACCAAGTTCTATTAAGTAGAAAATTCATATTTCCATTTTACAGAGAAGGGTCAAAAACAAAAGAGACTACTAAATAACTATCTTTACCATATGTTTTTACAATTCCAGCATCAAAATTAGAAGCCAGAGGGGCTTCTCTACAGTAATCAAATCGCAAAGACTATTTGCTCTGGGAAGCAGAGGTTTTGTAAATCCGAGCGTTTATGGCTGTGTAAAGTTACAAGTAGCGTGTTATGGCAGCCATAAAGGGAAATGGCGGGAAGATAAGGACGGATTAGGTGGTAGCAGAGGTGGCTTATGTTATCTCCCTTATCAGTAATCATATGATAGGACAGCCCTCCCTGCCCGCCTGTCGTCGCTCTTGATGTGTTAAGCTGTATTATCGGACGTCAAATTCTGACAGACTATTTTGGGGATCAGGGTACCAATATGTCATAAATATTAATTATTGGATTCTTTCCTGCTGGGTTATAATTAAACTTTCGTCATACTGCAGCGAAAACGGCTGTATACAATAATGCACATGCGTTCAAGGGCTGGAATGTTTCTACTGCCATTGGGTACCCCACCCAAAGATCAGGTATCAGGATCAAAGATCAGGATGTATTAGATCAGGTAAGTCTAATACATTAGCTACATACATATTTCATACAGTTCGTCCGCTGCCCAACCAAAATAGTCTCGATTTGAAAATTATAATTGAATCGTATATTGTATCAGTGTTGCATTGTATATTTCACTACGAAAACAACGATATTTACACACTATCATATTTGGAAACAAATATTACGAATATTTGTTTATTATTGTGTTGTTGGAGTAATATGGGCTGCCTTTAAATAATGTTATCAGCTGTCTATAAACAAGGGGAAAGCAATCAAAACCTTTTTACCAGCTCGTTTACAGATAAAAAATGTCCCCAATCTACGTTTTGTAAATTACTTAACTTAATTGAGTGATGTGCAGTATACCGAAGAATATAGTTCATCACATGAGATAAAAATGACTTGTCCAATGTCCCCCCTTGCTAATTTTTATTCAATTTGAAGTCGGGCTAAAAAAGAGTCTTTTTAGGCTCTGGCGAGGGAATATACTTTTTCGCAACTTTCTACCTTTATCGCAACAAGAACTGATGTTTTCAACATGCATTGGGTACTGGAGTACTGTACTTATATTGTCTAGGGCTAAAATAGAACCAGCGGAGTCCAGGACATCAGCTGTATATTTTTATAGCTGTAAATGTGTCCGCCTATTTTGCCGAGGAAAATTTAATATTCCAGGTTAATATAAAGATATATATCATTGCCGAATGTTGTGTTTATAATCGTGTTACATTTAACTTTACACTCAAATATACATCCCTTTAGTGAATTTCATACAAATCTAAGCGTTAAGAATTATTAAGATAAATAATGTACAAAATGTGTTGTTTCACAGGCTCAAGAGTAGTGAAACAAGTTTGTAGCTCGGCCCTTATGGAATACAGAAATGTTATGCATTTTATTTTAAAAAAAGTTGCAACATTTCATCCATTAATGATTCAGAAGCTAGACTTCATATGATGTTGAAAATAAAACTCAAATGAAAGTTCATAAAGTCTGTTACATGAACAAGAAGAGTGAGTTTCACAAAATAATTGTAAACCTAAGTTACTGGTTATTAAAAAAAATTCTCTTTTAACTCATATCTAAACTTGCGATGATGCAACTACTATTACAATATCCTGCAATCATTTCGAATAATAAAATCATCAGCAGTTGCTTTAAAACGTCCAAAGTCTGAGTGATGCTCATTACATTATACAGTAACATTATAAATATAGTTGGAAGAATATGTTATATTGTTAGAGTTTGATTAGAAAGTTATGCCATCGCCTTTTACTCGTTGTAGTACTGTAGTAGGAGAACCAAGCAGTTATTAAAATACCCCCGCCGCAGCAAACCTGCCGACTAAGCGAATTTCCATTTGTCTGAATTGATTTTCATTTAAATATATTTTAATAACATTAAGTTTAACGAGTACCTAGGTTTGCTGCTACAAGGAAACTAATAAAGTGTGTTTTTGAGTAAAATATTGATAGCTTAGTACAAAATAAATAAATTTGCTAAGTTTGATCAAAATATATCCATAAACAAGCAAACTACAACATTTGACAATATTCTCCATAAGAATAACATGGGAATTTTTAATTTATAATTTTTTTAATTTTCTCCGTTACTAATAATCGAACAAAAATACTTTTATATACAAAATTATTTGTTTTTTTAAGCTCTTTAAAAAGGTCTAAAGAGAAATTGGGAAATTTTGTGTTTTGAGGGTCAAAAGTGAGAAAAACCAATTTTTACCCCATAAAACCCCTCGTAAAGCCCCGTTCCCATGGTCCGATCGTGCTGGTTCGCGAACTCATTCAAGTTTATCCCGCTTTACACCTTTAAACTAAATTTCATCAAAATCGGACAAAAATTACTCAAGTTATCGTGTTCACGGACGTATATATATATATATATGACAAAAATTACTCAAGTTATCGTGTTCACGGACGTATATATATATACATATATAAAAATTTGAACGAATGGTGTTTTTGGCCTCTGGGGACATCAAAATGAAAAAGTAAATCGGTCCCGGGTCGAGGTCTAACCGTGCCACCTACGGTAATAGCTACTTCCCTATAGGGAAATTCGCTAAAAACGAGTAACATGCTTAGCAACACACGTTACATGCTCACAGGAATGAATGCAAGTCTGTAATCCACGCAAAACTAACTGAAAGACCTACTAAAAATAACATATATTTTCAGAAATACAATGTCACATCTAAACTAGTGAGTCAAATTCGAGGTAAAAAGTTATTACACTACTAATTAGTGATAATGATTTAATCATACTTACATCATCTCTAAACCAAAGAGAACTTCGATGGTGTTAATCCAGGGGAAACCGCACTTCGAAAATATAATCCGAATGAAGATAAGACGAGAGTAAGGGACAGACTCAGGAGTTCTAGGGTCCAATAT